CGTTACGTTTAAGTGCGCAGAAGGACAATGGAAACAACGATTTCAATGTGAATTATGAAAATATTGGCAAACAAAACCTCATTTCCTACAAAACTTTTGGCAAAATATTTTCAATGAAAAAAAAAAATATATAATTTTAACGGTGCACTTAAGTTATTTAATAATCGATTTATGGTTTAAACTTATAGTGAGAATAATATTTATCTTATTTTTAAGTAGTAAAATATCCTTTTGTGCTATTTTTTATTTATTTTGAATTTTAGGTCTCTTTGTGTCTGAACCATATGAAGCAAATTGATTTGAGTGCAATCGTAGCTATTTTCTTATCGGCATTTATTTATATTTAATTATTGTATATTCGTATATAACCATTCCCAATAACATTGATAACAGTTAATTATATTGTTATAAATAAATAAATGAACCTTCTTCGTAAGTGCTTCACTGTATTTGTAGTTGATAAATATTATTCAAATGTGCGTAGACGTTAAGTAAATTCCGCGCATGCCCTTTGAAGTCATTGTCCTTTCGCCCAATAACCAATAGTAAAATATTACCTTGAACTACTTTTTTAAATTTATAGATCAATTTTTCAATTTTTATCGACACAAAAGAAGTGACTTAATTTAACAGTGGAGTATTCAGAAGAGAACGATAGGTACGATGGTGTAATGTTTAGTAATAATTTGTGAAAAATATCATAGTTCCTGCGTGTTGCAGTTTTAAAATTCTTTTCAAATTTTGTTAAATATTTTTTTCTGTTTATTTTTTTTATGACAAATTATGTTAATAAATTTTGGAACTCCATTATTGAGAAGTCAGTAATACTGTTCGTGAAAATATACGCATCTGGACTAGCGTTCTGAAATTATAAAGTGATCTAATAGCTTACACGATATATGAAAACATCAGCAACATCAGTCACAAATACTAGCACCTACTACCTACTAGTGGTTACTCACTAGAACCGACTTTTGACTTAAGTTTAGTGAACGATGGGAATTATTCATGTAGAGTATAGCAATGCTTTCCAATTAATCTTAAAGTTTCAATCTTATATGAGAGAATCAACAATATCAGTCAGAGCCAACACAAATACCCACTAGAACCCAAGAACGTAAATGGTTGCCAATTAATCTACTTAACACATTGGATATTCATTGGATATTTTTATTCACATTATTATATTTTAAAATTTTATGACATAAAAATATATACATATTAACATATTGTAAATTATATATTTTATTAAAAAATTGTATTTACAAAAAAACTACCGAAACTACTTCGTTGTTTCTTATATATGGTATATACGATCATTAAAAAGATTTGAGAGTTCTTATTTTAAATTTTTGATATAGGTATTTCAATTATTTTGTATTCGATGATGTATTCGATTTAAACATAAATTTTTTTTAAATTTTAATATAATCTGGCATTTAGCACATAAGTCGAATTAAATCTTTGGGTTAATAACATACTATGGATGTGATTTAAGAAAATTTTAGACTACATAAGGTTAGGTCTTATCCAAATGTATTCGAAAAAGAATAAATTAGAGATAATGATTTTATTTATACTTTTTAAAAGTATTTTATTAAAATATGTTAAATTAATAATAAAATAAAATTTTTCTAGATCTTTAGAGAAATGATAATTATGTCTTGTAATATTAGAAAATTTTGGTAGAAAATTATAATCCTTAGCTACTTTGATTTACATAGAAGAAGCTTTAAAGTTTTAAAATGAATATTAAAATTTTTTCTAACATTTTTTCATTTACCAAACTCTAAGTTTTATAGAGCTTAGAATTTCAGATAATTATTTCATAATAATTTAATTAGTTTATTTACTTTAATTATATTATTCAATTATAATAATAGCACTTCTGTTGCCCTATCTCCTTTTTAAAATTGAAATTATATATTGTGATATAAGTCTGTGTGATACATACAACAGATTATGACTATTAAAGATCGTGTAGATTAACATAGACACTAAAATAATTTTAAACCTATATTTTAAGGAAGTTTTAGTTAACTAGTTTTGTACATGAAAAGATTATTTATTGTAAAGATTTATACAGATTGATAAGAATTTCAGTGAAAATGAAATGATAGTCAATTCGTATGTAGTCGTCAACATTTATTAAATGCGTGTCTATATGCTTAAACCAAATTCAGCTAATGTGGTATTACTTATTCCCAGTAAGAGCTCTTATCAGATTTTTTTTCATGGAATTATTTGATTCATGTTACCAATTACATTAACCTTGATAGAGGAGCACTGACAACTGTAGTAAAACACAATATTTTCATATATTTATAAGGAAATGTGAATGTAAAGATATGGTCATCAAGGCGATCTTGAAAAATCTCTTCTATTTTTGATCATCCTCGAAAACACGAATAAAATTTTTTAGTGTCACCACTTTTGATCGGATTCACTTTGTACCTGGTATTGAAATGAACTATTTCTTGAAATTCGTTATTGATATATGCATCTAAAGTAATGTGTATTAGGTTATATCGGCGATGGACCCATTGTGTTGCCGTCTAATAAACAACTCAAGCGTTAGAACCACTTAGAACCTTTGGTGAATATGTATTATTATTAACTGTTTTTAGGGATTGATAACCTGACTTTTAATCTGATAACACTACGCTACTATCAGCTCTATGTGTGGTTTCGATTAGCTAGTACCCATCCATCATTAAATTTGTGACTTTAACATTTTTAATTTTTTAAATAATATATACATTCAATAATTTGTTGTTTTTTATATTTTATTTATAATTATGCATAATTAATTATAGTTAATTAACTACTTATTAATGGTGTGAATATTTTAAGTGAATTGAATAAAAGAAATCTTTTTGAATGGAAATGTGAAAAGTCTGGTATTATAAATTTGTTGTGAGGTACAGTCAAACCTTTAATGTAGGCGTGCCAAGTAATTTATTTATGAATAATATTTTTACAAATAAATTCACTGAGATGCACGTCACAGCCAACTTGTTGAAAGGTTTGTTAATATTCTAGCCAAAGAGTCATTTATATTATGAAGAATCTATTAGGAATTGCTGGAAACGCTGATATAACTTTATGCAGATAATAAATTAACTAATTTGATTATATATAATTTCGAAATATTTCAAGTATTGGAATCATTGATAAAACATCAGTAAATAATACAGCACCGTATACGCTTATGTCATATATAATACAGATGTATATATGAGTATGTATATAATGGAAAAATATATTTAGTGACGAACAAATATTGTATATTACTGTGCTCTTTTTAAAGCAAAAATAAAGCAGTCAACTTTTAATTAAGCAGATAATGTATATACCAATAGCAGTATATACTTAATATGGTATGTATACAAATTAAATTGTTTGTTTTAAATAAATTCCATATTAGCATTAAAAAGTGCTAACAATTTCGTTGTCAAGCTATGAAATATTTCCGGTGTTCTGAGCAAAAAATTTTTGTATTTATATTACAAAATTTTAAATATTGTTGCGTTTTAGTAATGTTAATTTAAACATTCAGTGAAGTTTATGTGAAGATAAATCTATAAATTTTATAATATCTGCAGAAGCATTTGTCTTCTAAGTGTACTTCTAAGTACTGTCTGCAGTTATTAATTGTTAAATGAATTGACGACTAACTGATTTATGCAACAATTCTATAGAATTTTTTTATTATTAACTATATTTATATATGAAATGTATGAAATTTCCAGAAGTTAATTTATGCAGCGTTAAAATTTTATTGGCAGCTGCATAGAAAATGCTGGATGCATTCTTCTTGGCTACACAACTTACACGTACTATGGTTGCTTATTAACAGAATGCATAATTTGAACTTCAATTTCAATTTCACTTTAAATTTGGAATTCATCAAATCCATTCCATTCGAATCCAATCAAATCAAATCACTTTGAATATTTATGTAATCGAATTATTGAAATGAAAACACGCGCTTTCATCTCTTCAAAACGAGTTAATTGAAAATGCAAATATGTACTGAACTTACCTTTTTCAAATCTCCGATTTTTAACCATTTTGTGTAATTACTGTTAATTTATTGGCAATAATTATTTTACAAAAAATTAATTTAAATTAATTTTACTGAAATATTTGCTGTCGTAGTTTTAAAATAAGAAAAACACGCGCTGCGATTTGAATGTTGTTTGAAAACCGAAGAAAATAAAAATATCTGCAATATTTTTACTTCAATACTTAATCCCAACAGCGCGTACGTACGTCACACGAATTTTCCAATGTTGATAAATAATGCAAGATATTTTCACAATATTAAATATACATATATTCATATAAATGAAAATAAAAAACAATAACTTTTTCTTAATGTTTCAATGTATGAAGTTTTCTTTTTTTTTCAAATAGAAATCGTTATAAACACTATTCACATACGCGTTCTCATAGGAGAAGCGTTCTAAAACCGACTGATTCGGATATTTGTGCCAACAATGCTTTTATAAATATTCGATCGTGAGCAGCAGTAATCACAACAACAACAACAACGATAACAACAACAACAATAACGATTGTATCTCAAATGCGATTTAGCCTGCTTGTTCGGCTGCCTGCCTGCGTGCCTGCTTGCCAGCAGATACACGCCGCATGGACAACACCAACCCGCAAGCAATATTAAAAGTAACAACACATAAATAACACCAACAACACCAACAACACCAACAACAATAACAATATCAACAGTGACAACGATAACAGCAACAGCAACTACGAGTACGAAATACAAATATGAATAACACAACAACAACAACAACCAGAACAATAACAACAACAGAAGTCATTTACAAATGAGCATTGAGATTGGCGCGCAGAGCAGTGCTGAGATACAGATACGAAAATATCGCGTGAATTCTTTCGCCTGCGTCTCGAGATATCAGTACAACTGAGCTAATGTGTACAGCATTTTATGAAAGAAAAAAACAAAAAACAAAACACAACACAAAAAAGAAAACTAAAAACATGTGTTCATCTGATAAAGGCGCCTACTCTCTCTCTCTATCGATTGTAATGAAGAGCCGAAGTCATTCCTCGATACTTAGGCGGTACTTGTAATGTGAAGTCGTTAAGAAGCACCATTGGAGGAGGACTCTCGATTTTCCTTTACCAACATCGAATTTACTAGTAATTAGTAAAAATCATATTATTTTCCAAAAAAAAAAATTTGTTGTATTATTTATTAAATATTATAATTAATTTTTCAAATTTTTAGATTTGCTTAAGCCTTACTTCTTATAGCTAGAATTTTCGTTAGGTTGTGTCTCATTACTTACTTACTTACTTAGTTGGCCATAACAGACGTGAATCGTCTTTGTCCGCGTCCAGTAGTCTCCATCAGCCAACCTGATCAGTAGCTTGCTGTCGTTAGTTGATAATATCGTGTGCCTTCATATTATTGTTCAACTGGTTCTTTCACTGAAGATGTGGATGTCCTGTACAGCGTTTTTAACTAGTAGGTATCGAATCAAACACATTTCGAGACGGATCATATTCTTCCATTTGCATTATGTGACTTAGCCAGCCAAACCGTGAAATTGTAATACGATTAACTATGTCAATGTCACGGTACAACTCCTACAGCTCATTGTTTTATCTATCTCTTTGTCATCGATCTTTCAAAGATTTTTGTGTTCTATAAATATTTATAAATACCTAAAAACATACAACAAAATGCATTTTCTAATTAAAAATAATTTAAATAAAACTATTAAAATTAATTTAAATTTAAGTTTAAGTTGTTTTGCAAACAATTCTCATTATATATATTTATTTTTTAGTACTTTTTTTAGTTTTTTTGTATTTCCGATTAGTTTAATTTTTTAGTTTTAAAATATTTAGTACAACAATAGTTCCTGAAGAGGCGATCAAAATTATTGAAACATAGGGCTCCAAGCATTCAAAATTAAGAATTAAATTAAGAAATTAAGAATTAAGAAATTAAGTCCATGTGCGAATTTGAGTAAATTGATGGTAAATTGAGAGAAATAGTAAATTATGTCGGTACGGCAGCGAATATTGGTATATACCACAACTCCGAGTAGGGTAAATTAGATAAAAATTAGGTGTTACCATTGTGAACATTTTATAAGATGTTTAATAAATAAATTAGAAAACTTTGAACCAAAAATAATAAATAAGTGCAATAAATAAATAAATAAATAAATAAATAAATAAATAAATAAATAAATAAATAAATAAATAAATAAATATTTACATAAGTGCAGTGCGAAAAATTCCTAGGAAATTTCAATTTACTTTTTTCTTGTCAATTTACTCGAACTCGCACACGGCCTCAATGAGATATATAAACATATAATTTATTTATTATTTAACGGCTATTATTATAAATTTTTACCTGAAAAAGCTTTTTATATAGTTTTTGCATATATTTATATTTACATACATAGGTATTTTTTATATAAAGTTTCAAAGTTTTTTTTACTTCTTCATCAGGACGAGATGAGTGAACAATTGATCTTACAATCATAGAGAAATTATTTTCATTAATAGAGTATGTTCTATTAGTTTTTGAAAAATAATAAATATATAGTAAAAAAATAACTGGTACTCACTATATACAAAAATTTAATTTTTTCTTAATTTAATATAGTTTTATAAATTTTATGTACAACTATATATGAACTGCTCATGTAATTGATATATTATTTTATGCTTTTATTCATAGAGGTTTAACAATATGTTTTAGGTATTCTCTTACCTATAGCACATTTTTTCATTTAATGGCACGATGATGTAACTCTTCTTCATGCTGCCGATACAAATTATTGAAATATCGAGGTCCTCTAGATAGTACTTGTAATCAGGTTCTTTGGATCTACAAATATTGTCTGAATTCAATGCACGATTTTAGTGGTGATATAATTTCTTTGAGTTCTGCTATAGTTGAGGTGCTTATTTATGTTTCCGATTACCCAGAACACGTTTCAATCATCCCATTCATTCATCGTCTACTACTCTGGCGAAATCAGACCATAAGTGATATTGGCTTCATTTAGGTGCAAATTTTCTAAACAATTGTCTAACAATGTTTTTAAAATCTTCATAAAATTATCTTATCAGTTTAATTAGCTATTTATATCTAAGTAAAAAGCTATCGACGGAAATAGAAGTGTTGATCCAAGATCTATATTTTTAGAATTTTATTTTAGAATTACCATATATTCGTTTTTAAACTATATATTCGTATGTAGAAAAGAATTTCACATAATCCACTTGTTAGCCACTTACTAAATTATGACAATATGTCAACGAGATTATCGTATTAAGATATGTATCTAATGCTATATTTAGACTAGAGTATTAAATTCATTTTTGGGTTGATCTCGATAAGCATGTAGGATTTATTAATCGTATTCATTATACGAAATCCACAAAAAATCCACACAAAATCCACATAAAATCCATGCAAACAAGTGCAAGATAAGCACACACTTATTTCTAAAGTCTGTAGGATTAGTATAATGTACCTAGCCTAAAAAATTGCAAAATGGTAATTATCGGGTGCAAATGTTGATAATAATAGTAATGAAGTTTCAATATCAAGTTCATCATCTTCATCGAATGCTATATATCTATTCTCATTATGATTGGAATAATAATACTATGTATAATGTTTCAGTGGATCTTTTATAATTTTCTTTTTCTTGCTGATATATTCAAATCCATTGCAAAAAATGACATTAAAATAATATTGGTTGATTGAATAGAAATATCTACAATAGAATAATATAAAAATATTCCCAAAAATAACATTAAAGCTAAACATGATAAAATAAAATGCAAATATTACTATAAATAATATTAAAGTTAAATATGACAAGAAAAAATGGCAAATTATTCCATGATGCAATAAGATACAAAGCAAGTAAGTATGAAAAACTATTCTTTGTTTATATGGACATTTAACAAAAATCAATTTAATTATCAATTTTAATATGCTTGATATATTATACATACGCTAGAGAAGATACTGCTTAAGAAGGAGTTTTTACGTCCGTATCCTACTAAATCGATTCGAATTATTGAGGTTAAGGTGTCTTATAAATGAAGTAGTTGACACCGAAATTATATATCTTGGTGTAACAAAGGACATACAGTTGAACTGAGATATCCAGATTATTATTAATACGTATAGTATGTTTATATTACTATTTAAATCATGAAATACTTTAACGTGCAATATTAAGCTGTAACTGCATATAGCAGAAAACTACATGGAAGAAAACTTGGGCTTCCGTGAATTTGTTCATATATAATGAGTTTCTTACACAAACGAATGAATTTCGAATGAATTTCGAATGAATGAATGCTTGGACTTAAAAATGTGTATTACTAAGTGATTAAAACTATAAAGCAAATAATCTAAGTTAAATGAGTTATTTGTGAATAGCAAAGAACAAAGAATAGATTTTGATTTTAATCCGAGTGACTAGTGTTTAAGATCTTTATTACAAAGTGTTATTGTGTCTCGTAACCGAAGTGACAAAAAAATAAAAATTATTTTTTTAGAATATATAATAGAATTATAAAATGAAGGAATTACAATTATTTGTTCTTATATCACATAAATCAAATAGGTCGATGCCTAAACTTTGATAGAGTTTTCGGGCAAAAATATTATTTAGATAAATATATCTTGTATGCTATCAATTTTAGAGTAATAAGAGGAAAAACAAAATAGCACCTTTTTATGCTTTACACACTTACACCACAGTTTCCTCCTTAGAACTACGACCAAGACAGAAGTCATTATGGATTAGACCCAGTTTTATAGCATATCTTCCTATTACCCAGTGACCGGTCAGCATCTATACCGTAGTACTGAGCGGGTTACATCTTACTTGAAGCAAGGTAACCAGTAGCAAGTTGTCTGCTATGTTTAGTTTGTCTAGTTTAAGCCAAGGCAATCTGGAAATCTGATAAGAGAATTCTGTTCGTCTCTCGAATTTTGTTTGGCAATGCTCAGATATTTTGGTTTGATTGTCAGTTTAATTGTTGCAAGTGGGACGCTAATATCTAGAAGTGAATATCAGGAAACATAGTGCCTGCCTTGGCAAGCTGGGCCTGGAATGTAAAAATATTAATATCTACCTAATCAAATCATTGAATTATTTAATTGTTTTAATAACTTTTTTTAAATATCATGCCTTGTGTCACTTAAAAATCACTCCTGGTCTTCTACTTGAGAATGTTATAAATTATATTTTCAACGCTTAATTCGTTAAGTCAGTAGAGGCTTACGAATAAAACAGTATCTTGACTTTTATGTTATAAAGCATCTATGCATTCGATTGTATTAACTACCTCATATTTAACGTTTTTTTTAAATAAAAATTAATTCTGCTTAGTATATATATATTATATAAAACTTAAA